GTAGAATGAAGAAAAATATTTTTAATAATTTATAATACAATTTTTAATTTGAGTGGTTATGAATTAAACTAAAATATATATATTATAATTAGTAAAGCTATTTTACAAGAAATTAACTATCTTTATTATAATTATTCTCAAAAAAAAATATCTTTATTATAATAAATATATTTTTAAATTGGCATAAATAAATCCTGAAATATTAATTAAATTAGAAAAGCTATTTTATTGCATAAGGATTAGCTATCTCATTGAACAATAAATTTTTTTAAACATTCTTTCTTACATATTTGCACGGGTCAGAATATTATTTTCTGTTATTTTTGTGTTTTTGTTTTTATGTCTTTCTTACTTTATCTTACAAATTTTTTCATTTCTATTTTTATTATTGGTGATTTATGTAATTTTATTTAATTTTTTCAATAAATGCTTTGGCTTGAATAAAGCTTTTCAAAGAATTAGATTTGGTCAATAAACCAAGATTTCTTGTACTTTTCTATAATTATATTTGTTTCATTTCATTTATAATGTATTGCGAATTATTATTAGTAAGTATATATAAAAGTAACAATAAGAAGTATAACATTGAGGTAGACAAAAACAAAGGTTAAATTTAATAATGATAAATAATCATCTATTTTAATTGGCTAACAAATAAATAAGAAATTATTATTTATAAAAAATTTTAATCTAATTAATTATACTGGTTTGTTAATTAAATAAAAAAAATTAAGCAAAAAAAATTATATTAGTGATTTAACTAAATTATTGTAATCTTAAGATATTTTATTATTCAATTAATGATTTTTAGCTTGCCTGATTATTAATAGAAACTGCATAGAGAATTAATTACTTTATATTAATTTAAGTTATTAAAAAATTCTAAAAACCATTCAAATAGAACTATTAACGAGGTAATAAAATGAATAAAAAATAAATGACAAATTGATATTTATAACTAAGTTATGTTTACTAACTTTTATAGCAGATAATTCTAATAAATAAATAAATAGTTGAATATATACCAAATTAGTTAATGAATTTAATTATTTATAATATTGAATATTATAAATTACGTTAAATCTATAACACATCCTGGCTGCTGTTAGCAATAGTTTCAGTCTGAATTACTCTAAATCTTATAAATTAAATACTAAATTAAGGAAAATATTGTAAGTGATTGTTAATTTCACATTTAATGAACTACTCAACCAAATCCAACCTTAAATAGTAACTCCAGGAACTCTACCTATGGCTTAAGCCATATAATAAAATTTAAAATTAATCAAGAAAAATAGTGATTTAAGAACTTCTAATCAGTATCAACTTCTTAATTTACTTATATCTGATTAGATCTTAATATTAGTTTTTAAAGTCTATTCACTTACTTTTAGTAAAAAATATGTTAACAACTTACTTCATAAAATTTTTAAAATTTAAATAAGAACTTCTAATTATTATCCATAAAATTTTTAAAATTTAAATAAGAACTTCTAATTATTATCAACTTATAATCTATATTTTTAGCGGCAGTGATCTCTCAACCTCTCTCTCACATACTATCTCTTTTTAAAGGACTGCTTTCAAAATAAAAATACATTAAAAAGACTTCTTTCAGAATAAGAATACTCTCACACACTATCTTTTTTCTTTTTGAAGTAGGGATTGTTGAGGATGATAGATGCATTGATGGGATTTGATTCTTCAAAGTGTATTTTGTTGGTACGGAAATAAGTAAAATATAATCTAAATCAATTGTTTATTTTATTTCAAAGATGATATGAATTCATAGCTTTTCAGATTCAAATTATAATTTGATTATGCAACAAAAAAAAAAATAAATAAATAATAAAAAGGGTGATCACCGGTAGCCGCCCGTGAAAGAAGAAAAGAGACCTTTTAGGTTTAGGTTTAGAGAAAGAGAGAATCGCTAGGGAATAATAAATATAATATATTTTAAATATAATAAGAATATAATAATTCAATTTGATTTCTTGGCAATTTTAATTTGAGCAAGTAATTAAACGATAAAAGTTAGTAAAAAGAATTATTATTTTTAAAATCATAAAAGTTTCATTATAATCCTATCTAGTTATTAAATTTTTTTTCATTATTTTTTTTAATATACTAATATGCAAACTAAAGCTAATACTTTTAAAATTTTCTTCAATATATTCTTTAGTTTTATTGCTATAATCAACCTAAAGACTAGTATATCATAATTCATTAAAGTACAAATGAATAAAAAGTAACAATAAGAACTGTGTAATATTGCGGGACGGATAAAAAAATATGGTTGAATTAATAATGATGAAATTACTTCCTATTTTTATCTTACAGCGGTTTCAGGCTCGTGTTCAATTAATTGGTTTATCAAACGCAACACTAATCTCTCTTGCTCTTTGAAGACATAAGGTGATGTTTGCCTAGGGGAGTTTTTAGTAGTGAGAATCAATCCATGACTATAGCCATGATGGATCACCCCATAATTTTGCTATTGTACCACTGAAGCTCCCATCAATCGGGGTTAGCGCTCCTATTTTAGTTGGTAAATAATAATAATAAGAAACTTATTATTAACTTTTTTGATATTTCAAAAATATTAGTCTATGTATTATGTCTAAAATTCAAAACAACAATATTCATTTGAAACGTTAGCGTGTGAACCTCTATTCTAATTAGAGGACAATTTTTCAAAAAGGAATAGCGCTGCCATAAATGATGCCGTATAGCATAATATACTTTTGTATAGTTTATAAAGTTAGTAAGTTAATATAGAAGTACATGTAATTAAGATTATATGAAAAGAATAGGGACTAGCTCTCAAAAACTTATTATTTATTTAATTATTTTATGCAAATATAAGCAATATAAAATAGGTCAAAATTAATAAAGTAATTTATAAAAAATAAATAACAAGCAAGAAGAATGGGTACAAATAACAAGTATAAATGCATGCAATGCACGTTGGAAAAAAAATAGTTTTATAATAATCTTTAATTAGATTGGTTATATTAGTTTTCCATTTGAATTTAAATATTATTCGATTAAATATATTAAACTAGGAAATATAAAAATAGAAAATTGGAAAATTTTTTATCCTAACCTAAAATAAAAATCAATCAAAATATATATATTTTTTTTTTTTTTTTTTTCTTTATCTAACCAACAATAAAACACAGATCAATATATATATATATATATATTATTATATATATATATATATATATATAAAAGCCGAAATAAAGAGAAATTTTGAGGCCTTGTCTTTGTTCAGCATTTATGTTTCTTTTTTTTATTAAATTTTGAGTTTTTTCTTATTTTTATGTTTTGATTGGTTAATATAATTATTTTTTCAATTTAATATTTAAAATATAAGAATAACAATTTATAACTTTTAAAACCTAATCTAATTCAACTAAAATCTTATCTTATCTTTCAAATTTTTGAACCTAATCTAATGTTTCTAATTTAATTCTGTGTTGCAAACCCATTTATTTTGTAGAATTTTTATTCCAAAGTGTTCCCTCAGTGTGCATTCTATGATAATGAACGGAGATCAATAGAAAAAGGTAGTATAATTTTATTTTTTGGATGAAATTGTTTTTGATTTGTTTATTTTATCCCGTGTAGGATATCTGAGAGAAGATTGCTTTTTCACAAGTACATAATCAATTATTAACTTAGAATTCATATGAAAATACTATATTATAATTAAAGGTACTGTAGTTTTTAAACCTTAAATGATGTAGTAAAATCATTTTCAATTGAAACTCCACCAATCACACTAAATTTATCAAAAGTACCTTATTAATTTGGCAATTGTTCATACATGTAGATGATTTGCTCATATAGAAGTTTTGCTCATACTTTTTGTTTTCTTTTATAAATTTATTAATCAAAAGAGAGATAATTTAGATGGTTAAGTTTTGGAAGTGTCTATCATTTTATAATTGAAAAATTAAAAGCTTTTTAAAATAGTAATGTAATTTAGTAAAAAAAAAATATTAAACAATATATAAATTTTAGCATGCGAAGCACGGAATAACGACTAGTTATTAAATAAAGTTATTTCAGTTAACAAATACAAAGTATATGTAAAAATATTTTAACTCAATTGATAGAAAATATATAAATTTAATTTATATTAATTTGAGTTACTAAAAAAATTTAAAAATAGTTCAAATAAAACTATTAATAAAATACTAAAATGATTAAATAATAAATGATAAATTGATATCTACGACTAACTTAGCTATGTTAGCTAACTCTTATTAATATACAATTCTAAAAAAAAAATAAAAATAATTCAATTAAAAGAATTAAAAAATCAATGGTCATTATTTAAATTGATCATTGTATTTTCAATAATTGAACATAAGATGTATGAGTAATTCTTTGGCTATAGGGTTTATAATTATTAAACATCAAAGATTTTTCTTCTTATCATTTTACTTCTTAATATAGGGTTTACCTATTATTAAACATAAAAGAATTTTTCTTTTATCATTTTACTTCTCATCTTAAAGATACTTAATTTTCATTTTCTTCTTGGCTACTAGGGTTTTTATGATTATTTTTACTTTATATTGTTTCAATCATAAAGTTTTATTTTTCAATCCATTTTATTTTCTTTACAATATTTATTCATTTTGTCCACATACATATTATAATATTTATAGTAAATTATTGAATAAAAAACACCTAATTGATATATTTATTTTTTTACTCAATAATTTATTATCATTGTTATTATATTATATATAAAAAAAACCAATCAATTATATTTAGCAAAACAATAAAAAAAATGGATAAGTATTACGGGTCTAAAATTAAATGGAGACCTTTGATAAAATATAAATATTTATTAGGGATTTAATGATAATTTTTATGTGAGTCTTGAATAATTATAGGGATTAATATTGATATTTACCGTAGAATCCTAATCTATACACTGACTTGAGGTTCAAGACACCCTATATATATAACATTATTCCTGAAAGAACGCACGGATCAACTTAAGCTTGTAAAGTAAACGTGAAATACAACTCTCTTCGCTGATATCATAGAGGCTGTCACACAATCTGACCGGAGCAATTGTGTGATGGGGGAAAAGGGTAGTTTTGTGGTGCCTGAGTTGGCCGTTGAGGATGAAGAAGAGGGTTTTGGGAGGAAGTATGCGACGGAAGGGAAAAAGAGAAAGAAGGTTAGTGGGAAGGAGAGGAAGAAGGTTAGCAAGGGAGAGAAGAAGTATGGAATTAGTGGGGGGGAGGAGGGAAGTCATTCAAAATCAGGATTGATGAAGAAGGGAATGTATTCAGAGAAGCTGGCCGGAAAGGAAGATGGTGAGGTCAAGGGGATGTGGGATACTATTGCTGGCGGTGATTCTGAGGTTTTAAGCTTTCTTTTTTTACTTTTCTTTCTTTTTTTTTTTTTTTTTTTTAAAGGAAGATGGGTCGAGCGTCAAGGGAGATGTGGGATTATACTATTCTGGCGGTGATTTCATGTGAGGGTTTTAAGCTTTCTTTTTTTTCCTTTTCTTTTTCTTTTTTTTTTTTTTACGTTGCTTAATTTACAAAATCTTATACTTTGAAGTGCCTGTTGATTTTTGTGGTTTACTACACCTTTGGACTGTTTCTCTTAGTGTCTTATTTGGTAGGTGATCTCTGAAAACTAATAAGAGAGTGAGAGTCAAATATTAATAGAAATTGGCCTGTTAGTTTGTTAGGAGAAGGGATTTTCTTCCTTAGGTTAGGATTGCAAACATTGTTAAAAGAGCTAGGATACTTGCCCTTTCGTACGTGACATAATTCGCTGGTATAGTGCGATAAATCAAAGATTGTTTTGCTTTCAATATTCATTTGAGGGGTATGAGAACTTTTGTAATATTGGATTTAGTAACTAGTACCCCTGTGTCCCTCTTGTATTAAGGCAAATTGGAGATCCTTAAGCCCTCTACTTTTGAACTAATGTTTGCGCATTATTTATAATAGAGACTTTCGAGCGCCCAAGGTTCCCTGATTGGTAGATTTTTAATATGAAATAGTTCCTTATACCATTATTGGGTAATCTGCAATATTCTGAAACTTGTGTTCTCCAATTTCCTGTTCTTGTTTATTGCTCATAAAGTTTTACATTGGTTTACTATGATCAATGTCCAAACTTTTCTGTGTTACAAATATTTGATTACATGTTTTAGTTGTTACAAATATTTGGGTAACTTAAGCATTACTCCTGCTCCCTCCAAATATTTGATTACATGTTTAGTTGTTATGATTGTTTATGCATTACTATGCTTAAGTTCAACCCTCACTGCCTTATTTTTGAAGGCTGTGAGATTTTATAGATCTTTCTTGAGAACGTCCTGTTGGTTCATTATCATTATTAAAGATTAATCTAACTATGATTTTGCTTGTAATAGGATGATCAAGAGGGTCTCAGGAATGTAGATGATGACAACTTCATAGATGACAGTGCTTTAGATCCTGCTGATCGATATGTGAGTGACAATGAACCACGCTGTCCTGGTGATGCTCCTCAGGTTAGTATTTCCTATTTGCCGGACCTTCCAATTTCATTTAGTCTTTATTTCCTCTCTTGACCCTTGTGAAATAAATACTATGCGAAAAAAATTTGTGCATCTATTTGCGGCCCTTTACCTCTTGTTAGCCCTTGGCAATTGTCCCTTATTTGTCTTTCTCATATTATTTCTGCACAGTTGTTACAAGTGTCTTCTGTTGCTGCATTCCTTCTCGATAACATTCTATCTTATGCCCTAATTCTGGTTCTTGCCCCCACCACTACCTCTCTCCTGTATTTTTTGGCGTGTCTATTTAATTTACATGATACTTTTAAATTCTTGTTTTGATTTTCTGTCTTTCCAGGCTGAAGACGGTTGAGGGGAAGATGATTGAAATAGAGAAACAAGCTTTTTCAAAATTGGGTATATAGAGAAAAAGAAGACTTAAATTAATGACCGAAAAGTCCTCGCGCAGAAATGCGCTCGTTAGTTAGAATTGTTCATGGGCTCAGCGTGTGACCAAAAGCAAAAAACCGCATAACAGTGGGAACCTTTGCAAGAGGATGCAGGAATTACTATATAGAAGACGGGGAAAAGACATCCTGCTATATATTCCCCATAATCCTTTAAAGAGTATCACACTAAATCCCTAATCTTCTCACTTCCTTTACTGAGGTTACATCTCGAAAGAAGTAATGAAGAGGATGCAGAATTAAATAGACGGGGAAAACCTGCCATCAATAAACTTAAAAAGTCACCACTTCTTACTGAGGTTCTCTCAAAGTAAGTTGGTTTCTGCCACAAGTGTGTCTGTTCTGTTTTTGCTTCCATGGAATTCATAATTCTTCTGTTCTTTTCAATTATTCTGGTGCAGGAAGCAGCTCCAGCAGGAATTCATAGATCATGGGGTACTAACTCTTTTAAAAATTTGGCTTGAACCCCTTCCAGATGGAAGTTTGCCTAATATAAATATACGTGCAGCAATTTTGACGATTTTGACTGACGTATGTAGATGTCCCTTACTATTGCTTTCTTTTTTTTTTTTTTTTTGTCTTGTTTTAATTATGGCTCTGATTGGGGTTTCTAACTCGTAGAAGACCTGGACATCATGGAGATGATTCCCCGTACAACGAGTATGAGCCATAACATTCATTAGTAACTATTTGATTCTGTGGAAACATTTTTTCTAGCCTTGAAAAGCTTCCCTTTTTTCCATGCAGTTTCCAATTTGATCTGGAACAGATTGATAGAAGAGAGCAATGAAAGAAAAGTGGTCTTGCAAAGGTTTAATCTTGGGCCGGGCGCGCGTGATGCTACCAATAATATTGGTTTATCCCTCATTTAACTCTTTCCGTTTGCAATTTTTTTTAACTGGGGCAAAAAACTTGATTCAGTCCAATATGTCTTTGTATAGGCTGATTATGTTCTTATCAAAATCTGACGAGGGAAAAACCAGATCCAACAGGAAAACTTGCTAAGGATTTTGGTTGATAAATGGGTAATGCTATCCGACTTTTCAACTCTTGGTTTAATGCTATCCGACTTTCAACTCTTGGTTTACTAAATTGTTTACCCTGCCTTTCTCCTAAAGTCTGCATTCATTTTGCTAGTGAAAAGTCATAAGTTGCATATTTCCCTGTTTTAGGAGTTAAAACCTTGGGTTATACTTATGTTGAACATTTTTTTTGTTGGAAATATTAACTTTTACTTGTACTTTCGAAAACAAATACAGAGTCGACCCATATTTGATAAGAGTACGAGGTTTGAAGATATGAGAAACATTAATGATGATCGGGCCTTCCGAAGGCCAACAATAAGGAGGTACTTTCTTGCTATCTCTATATTGTCAATTTTTCTATATGCCTAATATGTAAGTTTGTAATTGTGTTTTGATATTGATTTTTCTCTATTTGGATTTCTCTGTGATTCCTTGGCAGGCCAGTGAATAATTCTACATTGATGGAATGTACAGATGGTGATCTGGATTTGGATATTTCAAGGTAAGTTTAACGAATAATTTCTACATTGATGGAATGTACAGACTGGTGATCTCTGGGATTTGGGATTTATTTTTCTAAGGCGGGTTGCCCAAGTTTATATGTGAAGACATATTTCAAGGTAAGTTTAATGGAAGACAAAATCTTGTATTTTTCCATACATCCATTCTTCCAATGCTGTTTCCACGTTTCACAGTATACTCATGATGCTCAATTTTATTTTTTATTTTTTTTTTAAAAGGAAACGAAGATCTGGCCAATCATCTTTAAGGCAACGTGCTTCTAGGCCACAAGCAACTCCACTGGACTTTGTAGTGCGCCCTCAGTCTAAGATTGACCCTGAAGAAATTAGAGCCCGTGCTAAACAAGTACTCCGGACACAGGAAAGGAAAAGGAAGTTAAAGAGGAAATTGTGTATTACCTGAATATTATATTATTATAGATTATAATTACGTGACAGAAATTTGATTTTATTAATGATAGGACAGAAATTTGATTTTATTAATGATAGAGCATATATTTAGTGACCAAAAGATAATTAATCAGCGATCGAGTTGTATAAAAAAATGTTATGTATAAAAAGAAATTACAGTTACTCTCAATAGGAGAAGGCAAGTTCCTAACCAGATCTTAAAAATCCCAAATCGACATGTTATTTTAAAGACAGAATTGGAATGAACTAAGAATTTGAGCTTCATATCAAGATTTATGTAGATCATGTAATCCATGATAGAAGAAATCTTTCTAGTTTTTTGGCTAGCTAGATCAATGATCGAATAAATCTTTCTAGTTTTTTGGCTAGTTACGGTCTCACAAGAAGCCGGATTATCCTAATTGGATGTCATGATGGGTTAGATATGAACAATTAGGAGGAAGGGTTGAAAATAGAAAACTATCAATTTTGAAAAGGAAAAAAGATAATAGATTGAAGAAATGTTGCTAGTTTTTTTGGCTAGCTAGAAAGGAACAACTAGGAGGAAGGGTCGAAAATAGAAAAATTATTGGTTTTGAAAAGAATTATTGGTTTTGAAAAGAAAAAAAGGAGAAGGGATGAAGTACTAAGATGTGTGTCTAAAGTCATTATTTATAATAGACAAAAAAGGAAAGCCCCAAAACAAACATTGTTAAAGGCATGACCTTATGAGTAATTTGATGTGTCCCTTGGACAATCCTGTGGCACTTAACCGTGCACATAGAACTTTAAAACTAATAAAGCAGAAGATTTCAAAAGTAATAAAGCCCACGTGTAGGGGGCATTGTTGATTCACTTTAAAACTAATAAAGCAGAAGACTTCAAAAGTAATAAAGCCCACGTGTAGGGGGATTATAGCCCTCAAAACTAGGCTTAAACGAGAGGCTTGAATTGGCAAAGTTTAAAAAGAATTATTATATAATTAAGATAGTGCCAAGAGGGCATTTGGTCTCCTAAAACCCATAAATTGTAAAAATTGCTTTTAGGACATTTTTGGATTTTTATATATAGTTTTTAAAACGAGCAACTTGCTTTGGAGGTCACTCCTAGAACCCTATAAATAGGAAAAGCAAATGTTGTAGCTGTAGCGAATCTTTACAAACAAACCAAATTTCTTAATTATGTTCAAGTTACCTTTAACTCCCTTTTTTTTTTCCAACCTTCTTAGTTCTTATACTTATATTTCTCTTTTATCCTTTTCATGTTTGTTTTTCCCTTCCAAACTCTTCTTATTCTCATTTTTTTTTTTTTTGGGACTAAATGGACACTGTCCGGTTTATCCAATCTATCCCTAGACACTCCTAATATATGCAGGCCCAATGGACTCATGATAATTTTATAAAATAATAATTTTGAATAATAATTTTGAAAAAAAATTTAAATTAAGGAAATAGATCGTTATTATATTTACATTTCATGTTATTACATTTTTTTTTTTTTTTTTGTGTATAGAATTTTTTTTTTTTTTTTTTTTGGTTAGATATATATATTTCTTTAACCAAGTTGATGAGTATATCTACCACTTTCAAATGTATTGTATATTGGCTGATGTATTACATTTTAACTGAAAAAGGTATATGTCTCTAACAAGGATCTCAATATTTAATTTCTCAACAAATAAAGTAAATGATGAGTTACTTGTTGTCAATTCAAGTAAAGAATTTAATTACAAAAATAAAAATTCAATAATTTACTTAAGAAAAAAGTAATTTTTTTGTTTTCTATTTTCGATTTTCTTAAAAAATTACAGTATTATTTTTTAAGTAAAAAATTTAACAATATATTAAGTTATTAAAGAAGGAAAACTAGTTTATGCTTTAGAAAATTGGAGATTGTCTTCATTTATAAGGAAGGAAACATTATTGTAGCTTACAACTAAGATTAAGGTTGTTAAATTATAACGACACATAGCACATCGATATTCATTTCAAAAAACTATATTCCATAGAGTGACTTTAGCATATATAAAATAAAATGACCTGGGGAAAGGTACTATATTTTACCCTTATAGTGTAATAGTAATAAACATTCACAATATTGTTTACAATTTAAAATTTGTATTTTATAATATTTTATTTAAAAACTAGGACAAATTTTAAATTGAGGGGTGCAATAAGAAGGGACAAATTTTAAATTGAGGGGTGCAACAAACCCGATCCGACACCCAAAATTTATGAAATCTCTTGAAGGAGTTGGAAGATGTTCTTAAACAAAAATAGCTTTTGTGGTTTCAAAAGTCTAGAGAAGAGTGGAATGTTTCGGGTAACAAGAATACTAAGTTCTACCATGTTTTGGTTATGGTGCACAAAATCAAAGCTTACTATTCATCGGGTTCAAGATGGTGATGGGAATTGGGTGTCTGATAATGCGATCCTAAAGTCGATGGGTTGGACCTTCTTCTTGCAGTTATACTCGATGGATTCTCTTCTTGATTTTTCGGTTTTGCGTTCTGGCCGGTTCCCGTTCATTCCTTCAACAGCTTGGGATTCATTTAATGTTGCCTTTACAGCGAATGAAATGTATCTAGCGCTTAGTTCTATGGCTCCTTTTAAGTTGCCTGGCAGTGATGGGTGTTGGCTCAAGGGTCAATTTTATCTTGAAATTTTGATGATTTTGCAAAACAAATAAATTTAATATTCTTTTATGTGCTAATATTATTTTATGTAGATTTCAAATTGTGCTAATATTATTTTATGCAGATTTCAAATATGAAAATTGCTAAAGAAGGCAAGTTCCTATAAATACAAGATTCTTTGAAGACAATGAAGATTATTGAAGATTTTTTTTTTAGTATCTTAGGGTATATTGTAGGATAGAGAGAACATTCTTTTATAATTACAAAAATATTTTTTCTCTCAAAAATCATTTTCGAAAATTACTTTAAAAATAAAAGTCAAATCTTGATCTTTTTAAATTTACTTACCTAAATGAAAAAGATTTTGGCTCAATTATATTTGGCAACAAATAAATACAACAAATAAATAAAATATTTAAAAGATTTACATATCTTTTATATGTCAGAAATTACCTTAGTATAAAAGAAAGTCCCAAAATCTTTCTTTATTCTACTTAACCTAAATGAAAAAGAATTTTGACTTAAATAATTTTTGATAACAAATATGAGTAATTTACGCAAAAAGATCTTATATCTTTTTTCATCTTTGGAAAGTCTAAATACTCTTAAAGCTAAAGATCAAATCGCTTCTAAAAATGTGAATCTTCATTTCTTCCTATATGAATGTTTTTCTTCTTTTTGAAAAGTAGAGGTTTTTATAAGAGTAAGAGTTCCATTGAATTAAAAAGTTTTTTTTTTAAATCTCTCAAAGCTCTCTCTTAAAACCTCCTTATTTCTTTTCGTCTATTTGCTTCAAGAAATATTTTTAAGAGAAAAGAAAATTTAATAAAAATATTTTTTGAAGAACAGTTCTGAACTTTAATTATCTTTTCTAAATCTGTTTTCCGTTCTTCCCATGCTTATAATTGCATTTCTCTCTGTCTATACAGATTTTGTAATCTATTATAGACTAGAGGTTTTTAAATGAAAAACTTTTGTGTAATAGCTTAGGTGAAAAGTTATAGTTTAATAGGTTATCAAGCGACCTTCTCTTTGTGTGAGATTCTAATGTCTTGATGAGTTTTTGTTCTCTGCAACAATAGAGAGGGTTGAGATTGACTAGAACCTTTGGAAAATCTAATGGGACAAAAGTTAGATCTAGGTGTTGATCTATTTCCTTGAAAGTTGGTTTGTCTCTTACCCTTGAAAGTTGTTTTAGTCTCTTACCCTTGAAAAGAGATAATATAGTGGAGGATCTCTAAAGATGAAGTCTTGGGGAAGTGAGGATAGTAGGTGAGTTAGGTCGGACACTATAAAATCTCATAGTGTTTTATCCTTTTCTTTATTTTCTGAAGTTCTGCTTGATTATATTCTATTTACATAACTATTAATCTTTTTAGAAATGCAAAGTTGTTAATGAATTTCTGTTTCTAAACGCAAATAAGTTTTAGAAAATATATAACGACTAGTTATTACAAAAAGTTAAAATTTCAGTTAACAAACACGAAGTATATGTCAAAATATTTTAACTCAATTCATAGAAAATATATAAATTTAATCTATATTAATTTGAGTTACTAAAAATTTTAAAAATAGTTCAAATAAAACTATTAATAAAATACTAAAATGATTAAATAATAAATGATAAATTGATATCTATGACTGATTGAGCTATGTTACCTAACTCTTATTAATATACAATTCTAAAAAATAATAAAAATAATTCAATTAAAATAACTAAAAGATCAATGCTTATTATTTAAATTGATCATTGTATTTTCAATAGTTGAACATAATACGTATTAGTAATATCTTAGTTATGAATAATTTATGAATTATGATATAATTCAATTAGAAATCTTATTAAAATACTAATTTATTATAGATTACCAACATAAATGTTTAATACTTATAGAAAAAATCACTATAACAATTTTATTTTTCTTTGGCTATACGATTTATAATTATTAAACATCAAAGATTTTTCTTCTTATCATTTTACTTCTTAATCTTAAAGATACTATTTTATTTTTCTTTGGCTATAGGGTTTATGATTATTTTTACTTTCTATATTGTTTCAATCATAAAGTTTTATTTTTGATTATTTTACTTTCTATATTGTTTTCAATCAATAAAAGTTTTATATTGTTTCAATCATAAAGTTTTATTTTTCAATCCATTTTATTTTCTTTACAATATTTATTCATTTTGTCCACATACATATTATAATATTTATAGTAAATTATTGAATAAAAAACACCTAATTGATATATTTATTTTTTTACTCAATAATTTATTATCATTGTTATTATATTATATATAAAAAAAACCAATCAATTATATTTAGCAAAACAATAAAAAAAATGGATAAGTATTACGGGTCTAAAATTAAATGGAGACCTTTGATAAAATATAAATATTTATTAGGGATTTAATGATAATTTTTATGTGAGTCTTGAATAATTATAGGGATTAATATTGATATTTACCGTAGAATCCTAATCTATACACTGACTTGAGGTTCAAGACACCCTATATATATAACATTATTCCTGAAAGAACGCACGGATCAACTTAAGCTTGTAAAGTAAACGTGAAATACAACTCTCTTCGCTGATATCATAGAGGCTGTCACACAATCTGACCGGAGCAATTGTGTGATGGGGGAAAAGGGTAGTTTTGTGGTGCCTGAGTTGGCCGTTGAGGATGAAGAAGAGGGTTTTGGGAGGAAGTATGCGACGGAAGGGAAAAAGAGAAAGAAGGTTAGTGGGAAGGAGAGGAAGAAGGTTAGCAAGGGAGAGAAGAAGTATGGAATTAGTGGGGGGGAGGAGGGAAGTCATTCAAAATCAGGATTGATGAAGAAGGGAATGTATTCAGAGAAGCTGGCCGGAAAGGAAGATGGTGAGGTCAAGGGGATGTGGGATACTATTGCTGGCGGTGATTCTGAGGTTTTAAGCTTTCTTTTTTTACTTTTCTTTCTTTTTTTTTTTTTTTTTTTTTTCTTTTTTTACTTTTCTATTCTTTTTTTTTTTTTTTTTTGTCGGTTGGCTTAATTTACATCTGATACTTTGTATGCCGTTGATTTTGTTTGTTACCCATTTGATGTTCTCTTAGTGCCTATGGTGGTGACTGATGAATAGTAAATTAATAGAAATTGGTGTTAGTTCGTAGAGAGAGGATTTTCTTCCTTGGTTAGAATTCCTGTTGCCAATCTTGTTCTTATCCTTTAATTAAATTGTTTGCTTTCAATGTCATTTGAGCGTATGGACTTTTAATATTGGAGTTAAGTAACTAGTATTTCTTTGTATAAGGCAAATTGGAGATCCTTGTACTTCTGCTATTTGGTATTTTTATGAGTTGAGGTCTGTTTGGTAGATTTATATGAAAGTTTACATTTGGATCTGCATATTCTGAACTGTTTAATTTTCCTGTTCTGTTTATTTGCTCATTAAAGTTTTACATTGGTTTATATTTTGTATCAATGTCAAACTTCTGTGTTACAAATATTTGATTACACTTCTGTGTTACAAATATTTGATTACATGTTTAGTTGTTATGAATTGTTTATTGCATTACTATGCTTAAGAGTTCAACCCTGCACTCACTGCCTTTATTTTGAAAGGCTGTGAGATTATTAATAGATCTTTCTTGAGAACATCCTGTTGGTTCGATTATCATTATTAAGATTAATCTAACTATGATTTTTGCCTTGTAAATAGGAATGATCAAGAGGGGTCCACAGAAGTAGAAAGATGACAACATCACTAGATACAGTGCTTAGATCCCTGCTGATCGATATGTGAGTGACAATGAACCAAGCTTGTCCCGGTGGAGCTCTCAGGTTAGTATTTCCAATTGTGTTTCTATTTGCCGGAACTTCCAATTTCATGTTAGTCTTTAATTTTCCCTCTTGATTTAATTAATACTATGCTGAACTTTCATCTATTGGCGCCTTACTATTGAAAGCCCCTTTGGCAAATCCTACATTTGTTTTTTCCTCATACATTCTCACAGTTGATTCAGTGTCTGATGCTGCATCTTCATGAACTATCATATTAAATATCTGGTTCTTGCACTAACCTTTAAAAATTTTAATTGGTGTCTATTAAAGTTCTATGACTTTAAGAGTCTTGTTTTGATTTCTGCTGTTGCCAGGCTGAGGAGGGGTGAGGAAGATGGATAAACTAAACAGGCTTTTCAAAAATGGTAAGAAAAAGAAGAAGAATGAAGAAAAAGTCCTGCAAGGAAATAAGCGCTGTTAGTTTGAGAAATGTCATTGGGCTGAGCTTGGAGGTAACAAGCTGAAGGAGAATGCAGAATTAAATAGACCGGGGAAAACCGTGCCACAATAAACTTAAAAAAGTCAACCATAGCTTCTTAAACTGAAGGTTCTCTCAAAGTAAGTTGGTTTCTGCCACAAGTGGTGTTTGGTCTGTATTTGCTTTCCACAGGATTCAAATAATTCTTCTGTTTTCTTTTCAATTATTCCTGGTGGGCAAGGAAGCAAGCTCACAGCAGGAATTCACATAGAATATGGGGTTAACTAACTCTTTTAAAAAATTGGCTTGAACCCTTCCAGAGGAAGTTTTGCACCTAATATAAATATACGGGTGCAGCCAATTTTGACGAATTTGACTGAACGTAATAGTAGATGTCCCCTTAACTATTCTTCTTTTTTATTTTTTTTTTTTTTGTTTAAATTTTGGCTCTGATTGGGGTTCTAACTCATAAGAGTCCTGACAGTCATGGAAGAATGATCCCCGTACCCATTGAGCCAAAACTCAATTATAAAGTTAACCATATTGATTATGTGAAAAATGTTTTTACTAAGCCTGAAAATGCTTCCTTTTTCCATAAGCAGTTTTCCAAATTGATCTGGAACAGTAATGATAGAAGAGTGATCTGGAACAGTATGATAGAAGAGAGCAATTGAAGAAAAGTGGTCTTGCAAAGGTTAATCTTGTTGTGCACCAATATGTTTATTATTTAACTCTTTGTTTGCAATTTTTTAACTGGGCAAAAACTTGATCAGTCCAATATGTCTTTGTATAGGTGATTATGTTCTTATCAAAATCTGACGAGGAAACCAGATCCAACAGAAAACTTGCTAAGGATTTGGTTGATAAATGCTATCCGACTTTCAACTCTTGGTTTACTAAATTGTTTACCCTGCCTTTCTCCTAAAGTCTGCATTCATTTTGCTAGTGAAAAGTCATAAGTTGCATATTTCCCTGTTTTAGGAGTTAAAACCTTGGGTTATACTTATGTTGAACATTTTTTTTGTTGGAAATATTAACTTTTACTTGTACTTTCGAAAACAAATACAGAGTCGACCCATATTTGATAAGAGTACGAGGTTTGAAGATATGAGAAACATTAATGATGATCGGGCCTTCCGAAGGCCAACAATAAGGAGGTACTTTCTTGCTATCTCTATATTGTCAATTTTTCTATATGCCTAATATGTAAGTTTGTAATTGTGTTTTGATATTGATTTTTCTCTATTTGGATTTCTCTGTGATTCCTTGGCAGGCCAGTGAATAATTCTACATTGATGGAATGTACAGATGGTGATCTGGATTTGGATATTTCAAGGTAAGTTTAAAAGTTTAATGGAAGACAAATTCTTGTATTTTTCCATACATCCATTCTTCCAATGCTATTTTCACGTTTCACAGTATACTCATGATGTTCAATTTTATTTATTTATTTTTCTTTAAAAGGGAACGAAGATCTGGCCAATCATCTTCAAGGCAACGTGCTTCTAGGCCAGAAGCAACTCCATTGGAATTTGTTGTGCGCCCTCAGTCTAAGATTGACCCTGAAGAAATTAGAGCCCGTGCTAAACAAGTACTCCAAACAAAGGAAAGGAAAAAGAAGTTAAAGAGGAAATTGTGTATTACCTGAATATTATATTATTATAGATTATAATTACGTGACAGAAATTTGATTTTATTAATGATAGAGCATATAATTAGTGACCAAAAGATAATTAATCAGGGATCGAGTTGTATAAAAAAATGTTATGTATAAAAAGAAATTACAGTTACTCTCAATAGGACAAGTTCCTAACTAGTTCTTAAAAATCCCAAATCGACATGTTATTTTCAAGACAAAATTGGAATGGACTAAGAATTTGAGCTTCATATTGAGATTCATGTAGATCATGTAATCGATGATAGAAGAAATCTTCCTAGTTTTTTGGCTAGGTAGGGCCTCACAAGAAGCCGGATTATCCTAGAAGAAATGTTTCTAGTTTTTTTGGCTAACTAGGGCCTCACAAGAAGCCGGATTATCCTAACTGGATGCCATGATGGGTCAGATATGAACAATTAGGAGGAAGGGTTCAAAATAGAAAATTATTAGTTTTGAAAAGGAAAAATGATAATCGATGATCGAAGAAATGTTTCTAGTTTTTTTGGCTAACTAGGGCCTCACAAGAAGCCGGATTATCCTAACTAGATGCCATGATGGGTTAGATAGGAACAACTAGGAGGAAGGGTCGAAAGTAGAAAAATTGTCGGTTTCGAAAAGGAAAGAAAAGGAGAAGCGATGAAGTACTAAGAAGTATGTCCAAAGTCATTATTTATAATAGACAAAAAAGGGAAGCCCCAAAACAAACATTGTTAAAGGCATGACCTTATGAATAATTTGATGTGTCCCTTGGACAATCCTGTGCCGATTAACAGTGCACATAAGACTTTAAAACTAATAAAGCCGAAGACTTCAAAAGTAATAGTGTCATGGCCCAGCCCATGTCCGCTTTGGGCCCTTCCGTACGAGGTCACCCTCACGGTTTTGTCCCCTTGGAGTTGCCCCCAAAAGAGTGCCCCCTCCCAAAACGGCGCCTTTTGGGGGCAACTCCAAGGGGACAAAAACCGTGAGGGTGACCTCGTACAGAAGGGCCCAAAGCGGACAACTACTTTACCATGGGCCTGGGCCATGACAAATTTTGGTATCAGAGCCAAACCTTGTCCCTCTTGGCCGGTGTGGGGCAAACCTCAGCGCGACGCTGAGTCCCTCCAAGGGGGGAGTGAAAGCGGTGGCTCAAATAAAAGGGTGCACTCAACCGTTAGGCGAATCCCACATCGGCTACGCAAACAAGGTTCACGATCATACATAAGAGGGGTGGGTCTCAGAACATGGTAGGCGCCTTTTGGGGGCATAACTCCAAGGGGACCAAAACCGTGAGGGTGACCATCGTACGGAAAGGGCCCAAAGCGGGACAATACTTACCATGGGCTGGGCCATGACATTTTGGTAATCAGAGCCAAGCCATTGTCCCCTCTGGCCGGTGGTGGGGCAAACACTCAAGCGCGGACGCTGAGTCCCAAGGGGGGTGACGCGGTGGCTCATAAAGGGGTGCACTCACCTTAGGCGAAATCCCACATCGCCCTACCGCACAGGTTCACGATCAGTAAAACCGGTGAGGGTGACCTCGTACGGAAGGGCCCAAAGCGGACAATACTTACCATAGGGCCCCTTGGAGCCATGACATTTGGTATCAGAGCTAAGCCTTGTCCCTCTGGCGGTGGTGGGGCAAACCATCAAGCGACGGATGCTGAGTCCCAGGGGGGGTGAGCGGTGGCTCAATAAAGCGGGTGCACTCACCGTTAGGGCGAATCCTCACCATCCCGGCTACGCACAAGGTTTTCAACGATCAGTACAAAAGAGGGGTGGTCTCAAGCACATGGTAGGCGCCTTTTGGGGGCAACTCCAAGGGGACAACAAAACCGTGCTTTTGGGGGCAACTCCAAGGGGACAAAACCGTGAGGGTGACCTCGTACAGAAGGGCCCAAAGCGGACAATACTTACCATGGGCTGGGCCATGACAAATAAAGCCCATGTGTAGGGGGCATTGTTGATTCCAAGCCTCAAAACTAGGCTTAAACGAGAGGCCTGAACTGCCAAAGTTTAAAAAGAATTATTATATAATTAGGATAGTGCCAAGAGGGCCATTTGGTCTCCTAAAACCCGTAAATTGTAAAAATTGCTTTTAGGACATTTTTGGATTTTTATATATAGTTTTTAAAAGGAGCAACTTGCTTGGAGGTCACTCCTAGGACCCTATAACTAGGAAAAGCAAATTTTGTAGTTGTAGCGAATCTTTACAAACAAATCAAATTGCTTCATTATGTTCAAGTTACCTTTAACTCCCCTTTTTTTTCCAACCTTCTTAGTTCTTATATTTCTCTTTTATCCTTCTCACATTTGTTTTTCCCTTCCTCTTCTTATTCTCATTTTCTTTTCTTTTGGACTAAATGGACACCGTCCGTTTATCCAATCTATCCCTAGACACTCCTAATATATGCAGGTCCAATGGACCCATGATAATTTTATAAAATAATAATTTTGAAAAAAAAAACTATTAAGTAAGGAAATAGATAGTTACATATTTACATTTCATGTATACATCTTTTTTTTTTTTTTTTTTTTACTCTTTTTTTTTTTTTTTTTTTTTTTTTTTTTTTTTTTTTTTGGTTAGATACATATATTTCTTTAACCAAGTTGATGAGTATATCTACCACTTTCAAATGTATTGTATATTGGTTGATGTATTACATTTTAACTGGAAAAGGTATATGTCTCTAACAAGGATCTCAAAAATTTAATTTCTTAATAAATAAAGCAAATGATGAGTTACTTGTTGTCAATTCAAGTAAAGAATTTAATTACAAAAATAAAAAGTCAATAATTTACTTAAGAAAAAATAATTTTTCTGTTTTCTATTTTCGATTTTCTTAGAAAATTACAGTATTATCTTTTAAGTAAAAAATTTAACAATATATTAAGTTATTAAAGAAGGAAAACTATTTTATGCTTTAGAAAATTGGAGATTGTCTTCATTTATAAGGAAGGAACCATTATTGTTGTTTACAACTAAGAATAAGGTTGTTAAATTATAATGACACATGGCACATCGATATTCATTTTAAAAAACTATATTCCATAGAGTGACTTTAGCATATATAAAATACAATGACTGGGGAAAGGTACTATATTTTACCCTTATATTGTAATAGTAATAAACATTCACAATATTGTTTACAATTTAAAATTTGTATTTTATAATATTTTATTTAAAAACTAGGACAAATTTTAAATTGAGGGGTGCAACAAACCCGATCCGACACCCAAAATTTATGAAATCTCTTGAAGGAGTTGGAAGATGTTCTTAAACAAAAATAGCTTTTGTGGTTTCAAAAGTCTAGAGAAGAGTGGAATGTTTCGGGTAACAAGAATACTAAGTTCTACCATGTTTTGGTTATGGTGCACAAAATCAAAGCTTACTATTCATCGGGTTCAAGATGGTGATGGGAATTGGGTGTCTGATAATGCGATCCTAAAGTCGATGGGTTGGACCTTCTTCTTGCAGTTATACTCGATGGATTCTCTTCTTGATTTTTCGGTTTTGCGTTCTGGCCGGTTCCCGTTCATTCCTTCAACAGCTTGGGATTCATTTAATGTTGCCTTTACAGCGAATGAAATGTATCTAGCGCTTAGTTCTATGGCTCCTTTTAAGTTGCCTGGCAGTGATGGGTGTTGGCTCAAGGGTCAATTTTATCTTGAAATTTTGATGATTTTGCAAAACAAATAAATTTAATATTCTTTTATGTGCTAATATTATTTTATGTAGATTTCAAATAAACAAATAAATTTAATATTCTTTTATGTGCTAATATTATTTTATGTAGATTTCAAATATGAAAATTGCTAAAGAAAGCAAGTTCCTACAAATACAAGATTCTTTGAAGACAATGACGATTATTGAAGATTTTTTTTTTGTTAGTATCTTAGGATATATTGTAGGATAGAGAGAATATTTTTTTATAAGCACAAAAATATTTTTTCTCTCTCAAAAATCATTTTCGGAAATTACCTTAAAAATAAAAATCAAATCTTGCTCTTTTTAAATTTACTTACCTAAATGAAAAAGATTTTGGCTCAATTATATTTGACAACAAATAAATAAAGATTTGAAAAAGATTTGCATATTTTTTATTGTCAGAAATTACCTTATATATAGAAAGATTTCCAAACCTTTTTCCAACGAAGAAGGTTTTATTATCATGCATGTTCTGAACTTCACAATGAGAAGGTTCAAAGATCACTCTTCTATTTTTATCACAAATCTGACAATTTTTAATCACCAAATCTGAACTTACACTCAACAAGTTTATATGTAATTCCTTCTACTAAACATACATTCCTTCTATGAGGATTAGAAACCTACCCAGGATTAGAACCTACCACACCAATACCAACGATTTTACCTTTTGCTTTGTCTCCAAAGCTTACTGTACCTCCCTTTTTCTTTTCTAATCTGGTGAACTTCATTCTATCACCAGTCATATGCCTAGAGATAGCGCTGTCCATGTACCACATATCTGTTTTCAGCTTGCTCCTTAGGCACACCTGAAAAGATCAAGCAGACTTAGGTACCCAACTCATATTGGGTCCTGGAGGGTTAGTGGTAACAAGTGCACTATGATTTTTCTTTTTGTTGAAACTTTGATGTACTAAAGTCACAACATTAGGAATAGCATTTTTCTGATTAGAAACACAATTCAGTTTAGAAATGCTATCATAGCTAGAACTTGTCTTTTCTTTAGAAAATGATTCTGAAATTGATTTTAGAAAATCTCGGTTTTCAAAGATTCATTTTCAGAATTCAAATTTTTACATTTTTCTTACAAGATGTGTCAGATTTTCAGAAAAATCGATTATTACAATTTTTAAGATCTTTGATTTCTCATGATTAAAAATTGACCATGTAACTTCTGATTAAAAAAAGCATCTTTTAAATGATTATTTTCAGAGTTTTTAACTTCTGAATCTTTCTTTAGAACTTTATGCTTTTGCTAAAAGCTTTTCAAACTCATTGCAAAGATTATTGAAGTATTTGAAGATCATTTTCTGATTCAGGTTCAGGAAAATACGTTAGCAGTGCTTCACATTCTCATGGATCGTTTGCATTTGTTTCGTTGATTCCCAGCTTTCGTGTTGAAGTCAAGGAGTGCTATTTCTTTAGATTCAGAATCGATAGTAGCCCAGGAGACAGATATTAGCAATTTCTTCTTGATCACTGTGGC